TACTTGAGTTTTGAACTCTTTGTTAAGGTAAGAGTCTGCTTCCAATGTGGAGAATGTACTGTCCCAAGCTTCAGGGGTTTGTACAGCTGTTTTCAGAGATACTTGTAGGGACCTGTAAATTTTCAGTTCTTCCAAGGTGATATGATAAGGGGCAAGGTGTTTACTCCTTTCCTGACCTGTGACCACAAGTACTCCTTTCTGTCCTGTAACTGTGAGGAGGGTTTTCTCTCCACAGCCACTCCAAGCTCCACCATGCCAGCGCTCCTCCTCACCCCAGGACTGCCACCCAGACCTGTGACTCAGATCCAAATGCGGGCAAAGAAAGAGATTCCTGCCTCAGCACTGGCAAAGAGACCCCTGCAATACCTCTCTGATCAGCCCCTGGATTCCCCCTCAGTCTATGGGCCGGAAGCTCAGGAGGCGGCCACCGCGCCGGGGGCCACGCTTTCGGGAATTGGATCTGAGACCCCGCACTCCTCTCTCACCACTGCAGAAATAGACTTTTCCCACTGACCTTCTAAGCTGTCTTTGGCATTCATGGATTGAGGAGTCTGGAAACCTCCACAGCTGCCTGTGATTCAGCCCTCTGAAGCCTGCTCCAGGTTCACTGTGGCCTGTGCACCCATGCTGCACTGTGCTCCTCTTCCAGCCCACCACTTTATACCTTTCTGATCAATCATCCAGGTTGTCTTGGGCTGCAAATTTGTTTCACTCTGTCTTTTTGTGGGTTCTGATGCTTTAGAATTTGTTTAGAGCCATTTTTTATGAGTATTTGGAGCAAGTCACTGCTTTCACTCTGCCATCTTGGCTCCATCCACTCACTGCTAATGAATCTTAATTACTATTGCAAATGTAATTATGAGCCCCTTTCAGACTTTGGCCATTTTGCTGATCAAAAGGGACAAAGACAAAGACAAATGTAGGATTTGCATGTGAAAAAAATACTAAGAAAGCATCCAAAAGAGACAATACAGTAACCCAGGGCAAAGACTACAAGTCTCATTTCCCTATTTCTGAGTTGCTCACTTGCATATGACCAACATGGGAACTTTAGAATTAAAATCTGGAGAATTTTGAACCCCCGAATTACCTTATGATTATCAGACAAGTATTCCTTGAGTGGATATTTCTTAGTTTGCTGAGGTGGATTTAGTAAATATGCAGGTTTATTGCTATAACTTTGAAAGAGTTCTTTCACTGAGGGGACCTAACCTTGAACCATGAATGTTAGACTAGGAAAAGGCCTCAGATCCTGGTGAAAGAGAAGTTATGCCTTTCTACACTGCCAGCTGTTCCCTAAGAGATGAAAATCTTTCATAGTCTAGACAAAACCAGAGAAGTTTTGGAAAACTCAAAGCCAAAGATCTTTCTGCCCTTTCTGAAAGAAAGAGGTGATACAGGAGTAAAGAGGCCTGCCTCAGCAGCAGAACAGCAGTGCACCTGCTGCTTCAACATGGACATCACTCCCATCAGGGAACTTTGTGAAAACATTCCCTGGAAAAGGACATCGAGACCCATAGTTTCAGAACTGTGAATGGCTCTGGCCACGTGTGTTCTAAGCATCTGTGCCTCTTTCAGAAGGGCACTTCCACATGCCATGTGCCAGGCTCACTGGTACAATATTCTGCAATTAGTTTTCTTGCTTTGTATTCTGAGTAAATGCTTTTGCAGGTTGTTGCTGTTGTTGTTGTTTTTCATGATGGGAGAAAGGAGAGAAAACAAATGCTTGCTAGTTCTTTACAACATGACTAATGTGAAAATAGGTTTAATATAACTGTGTATGTTGAGCCTATATCATGCTGTCTTGGGGTGGGGAGAGGGGAGAGATGGGGAGAAATTTTGGAACTCAAAATCTTATGGAATTGAATATTGATAAATAAATGATTTTTAAAAAGGCGCTTCTGGGAGCCAAGATGGTAGAGTAAGAAGTAAGTTGCTCTCACCCTCCCTTACTGACCTCTGAGAGCCCAGAAAATATTGCCCCAGGAAAAACCCTGCAACAGTTGAGCCAGCAGAAAGGATTCAGCAGTCTTGTAGCCCAAGAAGCTTGGGAGATTGATGGGAAAGGCCCCAGGATGGGAGGTGTTCCAGCAAATCAGTGGCAAGTCCCACCTCAGCATACCAGGGGAGATCCTGAGCCCCAGGGGGGTGGAGCAGGCAAGCACCAACAACAGAACCCCCCAAGTACCTCAGTACAGAGAAGGGAACCCGTAAACACCAGCTTGGAAAACCATCACTTATGATGGTGTCCCCCAGCAGCCAAATCTCCCGGTGCCTTTAGAGGGCTTTAGTTTGCATCCTTCCCTGTTCCTGCACCATCCCACACCCCAATCTCCTGCACCCACAGCTATCACCTAGGCTTCCTCTCCAGCCTGGGCTGCTACCCCTGACCTTGCCATGTCAAACTCCTTTCCAAAAGCCCACTTGCTAGCCCAAGTGCATGGCAGGTATTTTTTTTTTTTGCCAATCCCTAGAATGGAAGGACATCGATGACTCCAATCCTTCCTTTAATTCCATGCTTTCTACTTAATGCTTCACCTCTATACCTCCTGAACATTAGAAGATAAATTATAAAAAGGTATAAGCTAGAATCTCTGGGGGAAGGGCCACCATTCACCCTGGCACAACTGTATCCTATTGTCTTGCATGAAAATCACCCATGACACAAAAATGGCGCCCTGGCATTGCATTGTGGACCCTTCAAGCACCCCAGACAACCTCTGCCCTCAAATGAGGATCTCTTTATTCCCTTTGCACGGTTTGTTTTACTTGCTCCACACTAAAATTTTCCTGGTTTGACTTGTCAGGAAGATTTCTGAGAGTAAAGGCCTAAATTTGGGCATCTAACATGTCAGTTACTTCAACAAGCCTTTCATAGATTAACCAGATTAACTAACCAGATCTATTAAAGTTAATCTGCCAGACAGCATGAGATGCCTATACTTAGTTTAAGCTATCTATTCTCAAAGCAAGCTTGGAACATCTACACTCAGAGGAAATCCCTTAAAAGATGGTTTTCTGTACCCCTAACTAACCTCTAACTCAAACTCCGATCTCTTTCCTTGTAAGGCTCATCAGGCAGTGCGTGGTCTCTGTCACAATAACCACATGATAGGCCTCAGGGACTTATTTAAGACTTTATAACATGGTTAACATGAGCCTTTTGGGTGATTTTGACTACAATGTGATTGGCCTTTTCTCCTTTTCTTTTCAACTGTTCTCTGGAGAATTGAAAGACAGCTGGGAAAGAATATTCCTCTCATATGCCTACATCAGGAGTTCTTAGCCTGTAGTCCATGACTCCCATCCGCAAGGGTCCAACGATGGATTTCAAGGGGGTCAATGAATTGGGATGTGGGAAAAATTCCATTTTAAATAAAAGTACATATTTGTTTTCTTTTGCAATTCTATAGATTTTATTTTATATATTTAATTATTCTTTTTTCTGAAACAGGAGTCCATTAGATTCATCAGACTGCCAAATGGGTCTATGACAAAACAAAGATTAAGAAACACTGTTTTAGACCCACAGAGAATCCCCCCATGGACTAAATATGAGCAGCCCACATATTGGGGGAGAAAAAAAAAACATCAATTATCATAATCCATAATAAGCCAATATAGAATATGGGATAAAGGTCCACATGTCAGGTGTAAGGGGAAAACTAGTTCTCTCATAGTTCCTCACAGACAACATTATGTCTCCTCCCTCTGACCTTTACATAGGCTATTCCCCCGCATATAGAATGCATTCCTATCTCACAAAGAGTCGGACCTGACTGATAATGACTGAACTACAAGATTTCTTGCGATCTATTTTAAACCTCATTGCTGTTTAGTTATTTCACTTGTGTCTGACTTGTGACCCCATTTGGGGTTCTCTTAGCAAAGCTACTGCAGTGGTTTGCCACTTCTTTCCCTAGTTCATTTTATAGAGGTGGGAACTGAGGCAAACGGGGTCAAGTGACTTGCCCAGAGTGGCACTGCTGGTATCTCCTATATTCAGCTCACCAAGAATCAAAGCAAACATGGCCAGAGGTCTAAAAACTGTGATTCTTAGAAGTTACTGCTTCCTTTCCTGCTATCATTATTGCAGAAATGGAAGGCACTCATCCAGGATTGAAGACCACTCAAAATATATCTATAACTATATCAGCTAGACCTACACCGACATCAACATTATCTAATCTCTCTCCATCTCTTTCTCTCTCTCTCTCTCTCTCTCTCTCTCTCTCTCTCTCTCTCTCTCTCTCTCTCTCTCTCTCTCTCTCTCTCTCTCTCTCTCTCCGTAGACTGCCTTGGCCAGAAACAATTTCATCACCAGGTGGGCTGTTATACTTCCTCAGGATTAGAAAGGCTGATCACCAGAAGGAAACACTTGGTTTATTCCCTGTGAAGACTTTCCAGTATTTTAGAGCCTGCCAAGCTTGTGCTCTTGCTGGCATACCTAGAGTTGCCTCCATGCCACATGCCATGACGAAGCATCAGAGCAAGACTTCTGAGGTGGTTACATCTTATGGCACAATACATTTCAAATGGATAAACAATAAGAATATATAAAAAAATTAAAACAAAACCCAACATTTTTGTTTCAGTTTTTTAAAAAAGGGAAAATATAATCTCTTCTCTTAGGGAACTTATATTCTGTTGTATTATTATTGTTAATGACCTTTTTGAAAATATTAATGTTATTGTGATACAAGTCTACTATAGTTCTTTGTAGTCCAAATACTTCTGACAAAGAAAACAAATCAGAAATATGAAGTACGAATCAGAGTCAAAGTTTAGGGAAAATATATATCATGGTTATAATATTCTTAGCACACCCTTACCTTGAGAACAAATGTATAAAGTATTAAATAATGACATACATTTTCCTGTTTATTTGAGATAATACATGATGGCCATTCAATTATTTACAGGATAAAAATTTTAAATGGTTTTAAAATTTCACTCAGTACTATTTGAAATGAACGTTTCATGTTCTAGTTTATACTTACTTCATCAAACATAAAGTCATCTAGGTCAATTTCTTCATAGTCATCTTCAAGTTCTTCATTTTTAATGGAAGCTAGTGCTCTGGTCAGTTTCTTCCGTAACAGGAAGCCTTTCCAAACTGCCTAAACAAAAATGTAAAGCATGTTATATAAGGTTATAGATCAAACCCAAATCCAGATTCTCTCTGTTATCCCATTAGGAAGATAAAACATCTCAGACCATGGTTTAATAGCTCAATGATCTATTTTTTGAACTTTATGTGACATTTAAAACTACAAGACAAATTAAATGCCTGCATGTGTCTACAGTCCTGAATACCCAAGAGACTTGCTGCTTGGTAAGCAGAATGGAATCTTAAAAACTCCCTCAACTACAAACCTCGGTCAACTAATTAATGATCTGACAAATCCTCCAGGACCTATTAAAAACTGAGAAGAAAGCGATATAAAGAAACACACACATGCTAATTTTCAAGTGATTGTGTGAAATGTAAACTTAACCACACATTGGAAATGTTAAATATTTGGAAGCAGAAATACTTCAGATTTATAAACCTGGTCTATACAAATAAATCCACGGTCATTTTGAGTCCTTTAAAAATAAATAGAATTTATTAAAATAGTATCATGGACTTTTAGAGCTGGAAGATACCATAGAGATCAGCTAACCCCTATTTTACTAATACCATAATTGTGATATTACTGCCTCTGATTTTTGCATGTTGCAGTGGTGAGGGAATTGGTCCAAAAGTAGGAAGACCTGGGTTCCATTCCCAACCTGGCATTTCTGTCTGACCTCAAGCAAATTGCTTAATGCCTCTTAAGTTTCAGTTTCATCTCTGAAATAAGGGCAGTGTTATTTAACACTGCCTGTCTCAGTGAGCTGCTGCGAAGGAAGCATTCTGTAAACCTTAAAGCACAACATAAATCTGAGTCTTTATTATCATATCTTAGTTACAGTAATAAGGCAATCTCTATCTATCTAACAAAATTCAAAAAAATGTGTTTGCATATGTCAGCATATTCCAAATCCTAAAGAACCAAAATGGTATTCTTGAGATAATTAGAAAAGATGAATTGTTTCTAAGAAAAAGCAAATTTCATGAATCTCCCAAAAGAGATGAAGTATTATGTTTAGAGAGAAGAAAAACCTGTGAATATAGTGGAATTTCTTTTTAAAAAAGCCATTATCCGCCAAGGGGACTGCTAGGTGGAACAGTGGAAAGAGGGCTGGGCCTGAAGTCAGGAGAACCTGAGTTCAAATCCAGCCTCAAGTACTAGAGGTATGACCCTGGGCAAATCACTTAACCACACTGCCTAGCCAAAAAAAAAAAATGATCTAGACAAGGAAATGGCAAACCATTCTAGTATCTTTGCCAAGAAAACTCCAAATGGGGTCACAAAGAATTGAAAAAAAAACTGTCAAATTCAATTGATGTGAATATCTTCTTAAAGACTTCCTAAACCTTTTAACATAAAGGATAAATCTGAAGCCTCAAAAATCAAACAAGGCAATGTTTAAAAATTAAAACTACTTTCCTTCCAAGTACAATGAGCTTTACTTTAAAAAACATTATCTCTGATGTCAGAATTAAAATATTTAATAAGGTTTATTACAAAGTAATAAAGAAATATGTACTGATATTGGGAATCTCAGGGGAAGGTGGGCAGCTGTGTTTAGATGCAGCATTCAAGAAGTCTGTAATCTTTAACTGTACTCTCCACCCCCATCCACCATCTCACCCCACCAAAAAAAAAATCTTGGCTTCTTGGTGATTCACAACAATGTGGGCAACAGTTGTTGCTACAGAACTTCTGGCCTTTGGGACTGAGTTTGTGATAGAATGTGAAGGGGTTACTGGGTGATGCAGAGGAGACAGAAAATAGGAGGGGGAGAGGGAGAAGAAGGGGAAAAGGGAAGCAGAAGAGAGAGAAGGAAAGGGAGAGGAGGAGAAGAGAAGGAGAAGAAAAGAGGGTAGAAGAGGGACAGAGGGAAGAAAAGAAAACAGGAGAGGAGTAGAGAGGGAGAGGAGGGGGGATGATAAGAGAGAAAAGGGGGAGAGAAGAGAAAGGGGAAAAGAAAGGAGGGAAAGTGAGAGAGGAAAGAGGAAGAGGAAGAGGAAGGAGGTGAGGAAGAGATGAGGTGGGAGGGAGGGGGAGGAGGCAGTCTACAGAACTTTTCTTAGAATCATAGTTTTAAACATTTATAAAATAAAATATATATGATTACAAGGGAAACCAAATGTTCATGAACATAAAAATTTTATTTTTCTACCATTCAAGTTCCCAGTCTCTCTGGAATCTATCCATCCTATCCAAGAATTCTTGGGGTTGATGGATCCCAGGTGAAGAACCTCGCTCTAAGGTCATTTAATATCAGGTGTATACAGTAGGTCCAAGGGTCAGCCAAAGCCAGGTGACCCTTACCTGCAGAGCCAGATAGTGACACCACAGCACCTCAGTCCTAGTGCTGACCCACATGAACAAAGCACAGAATTTTTAGAGAATTTTAATTTTTTAAGGCAATTGGGGTTGGGTTAAGTGACTTGCCCAGGGTCACACAGCTAATAAGTGTCAAGTGTTTGGTCCGAGGCCGGATTTGAACTCAGGTCCTCCTGACTTCAGGGCCAGTGCAGTGCTCTATCCACTGCACCACTTAGCTACCCCTGAGAATTTTAAATTTTTTAGAGCATTTTAAATTCCTGGCTAATCAGTGTTAGTTGCTAAGTTCTGGATACTTTCCGCATGACTACCTGGTGTGTCACAGAATGAAGACAGGGTCACTCCAAGTTTGGTGGATTATAGAACTTCAGAGTATAAGTGATTCTGTGACATCTTCCTCCTTCCTCAATCTTGGCCACTGGGCTTCCTTCAAGCCTCAACTAAAATTCTACCTTCTACAAGAAACCTTTCCTAATCTCCCTTAATGCTAGTGCCTTCTCTCTCTGGATTGTCTCTAATTCATCCTGCTTAGATCTTGTTTGCACGTAATGGTTCATATTTTGTCTCCCCATCAGACTGAGAATTCCTTAGGAGTTGGGACTACTTTTGCTTTCTTTGCATCTCTAGTGCTTAGTGGAGTGCCTAGCACACAATAGGTACTTAATGTATGTTTATTAATTCAATGACATGCCACAGATAAGTTTGATGGGTCACATAAGCTATTTTTTCCCTCTTTTCCCCAAATTTTGGCTGCTTTATCAAAATACACAAGGATAGGAGGAAGACATACTGTTTGCATGTACAAATGACAAAAGATGACACAGACCTGAATAAGTGTAGCGGCCTTCTCCCTCTGCGCATGCAGATCAGTGGTGTAACATTGTCTTTTTTTCATCTGGGTCTCCATAAGGTAATTTCGCCAAGCTCTCTGTATTATCATTGCTGCCATATCCTTCTGATCACAAAAATTAACCTGCCTGCGAATGTGGTATCCTTGCCAGTGGCTCTGAATTACTGTGGCTGCCTTACTACTAACATCAAAAACAAAGATACTTTTTAGTGGTAGAAATTAAAGACTAAAAATATATCATCATATTTGGTAGTTTTACCTAAAGATACAAATATGAACAGGCATAACAAGAAATGTTAGTGTAGATTCTGTCTTGATAGATTATTTATTCTTAGCGTAACTCATAGCAGTGTTGAGGAGCTCTGATGAGGCCATGTGCTCAGTTTGCAAAATTTGTTTAAGATACAGTTGTATTGCATTATGGTTGTGATATAGAGCTCTCACCTTAGGAAAACAAATATTAGTTACTGAAATATGAAATATTAAATTAAATAGCCTGGAAGATTAGTGCAGACAATGCTGGGCCATCAGCAAGGTGATATCTGACTGGAGTATGGCTAAAGAGAGGCTACTTTACAAATGATAAAAAGAGAGGAGAAGTAGTAATAGACCAGATCTTGTTGTGGAAATGATGAGTGGAAGATATTAAAGCTTTAATCACTTCAGCAAATTAGGGGATGCAGAAACAAGAACCTCTGGTATATCATAGAACCACAGAACTTTGGAGCTGGTAAAAGGTCACTGGAGGTCAAATCCAACATCAGAAGTCATTCTGTTCAACCATTACCTAAAACAGTGGTAGCAAACCAAAATACAAAAGGATTCCTGCCACAAGACTATTGACTTAGACAACCACAAATGAACATTATCTATGTGTATTGTGTTTTTATTTATGTAAACATTTCCCAATTACAGTTTAAGCTGGTTCCAACAGTATTGTAATTCATGGCTAACACCTCTGACTCAAAACATAAATGAATTCCATAACAACTCCACCAAATGGTCATTGAGCTTCCAATTGGAGGCCTTAAACAATTGAGAAATCACTAGCCTTTCAAGATAGCACTTTCCATTTCTGGACAGCTCTAATTTGGGGGTAGTTTTTCATTATATTGAGGCGATATCTCCTCTTTAACTGAACTAGTTATGATCTTTCAGGTCAACAGAAATAAGTCCAATCCCATTTCCAAATCATGACACTTGAAATATATAGAAAGCAATCATTTTTCCACTTGCATCTCCAACAAATTCTTCTTGTCTTCAGACTAAAAATTCCCAATTCTTTCCATTAATCCTCTCATAGAATAGCTTTGAGTCCCCTCAATATTCTAGTCCACCTCCTCTGGATGTGTTCTAGCTTGACAATATCCTTCTTAAAATGTAGTACCCAGAATTGAACATGACATTCTATGTGCTGCCCAATCAGGTCAGAATACAATGTAAGTAACATCTGCCTGGGTTTCATGTGGCCATTTAGCATGGTGCCTTGATCAAGAACAGAGGACACCAGAGGAAACACACTTCCTATTTTGACAAAGTTACTGAATTGTTAATTCTGAGGAATGCCTTAGACACAGTACACTTGAGTTTCAAGAAAACATCTGAAAAAGTCTCACTGAATCAATCTATCCATTCATAAATATTTTATTAAGCACCTATGATGTGCCAGGCACTGTGTTGGATGCTGGAGATATAAAAGTAATGAATGGAATAACCCCTACTTATAAAGAGATTACTTTTAACATAGAGACAAGAAAAAAAAATTACATAATCCTTGGTTCAAAGTGCCAGTCATTTGGGACTTTCTTCTAACTGGTGTAGATTGTTTACTCAATGTCCCATGCTTGCAAAGGGGGCAGGGTGGAGTTAATGAGAGTGGGAAAAAAAGTTATATGGGCTCTTCTGCTTTCCAGTTTTGAGAGAGAAGATGAACAATTCCAAATTCTCTTTAGGTCCATGAAAGGAAATAGACGCTGGGAAGAAGCAAAATAAAGAGAAGTTGGAGATCTCCATTATGTCTCTATCTCCTCTTGTTATTGTTGTTTTTGGGTCATTTCAATCATGTCTAACTATGTGGCCCTATTTGGGGTTTCTTAGCAAAGATACTGGAGTGGTTGGCCATTTCCTTCTCCAGCTCATTTTAAAGATGGGGAACTGAGGCAAACGGGGTCAAGTGACTAGCACACAGCTAGTAAGTACCTGAGGAAAGATTGGAACTCAGAAAGATGAGTCTTCCTGACTCTACACTCCGGACTCTCCCCTTGGGGAAAATCTTGTACAGAAGTTAGAAGCTAAGGCTGACAATACATGACGACTCAGATCAGGATAAACTCAACTTCAGTGGGGCACTGGGGCTGGTTGTTGTCCTTTGTTCTTGAAGAGGATCAAATAACATTACTATGTTGGAGTCAAGTACAGTGTGTCCGACTGTGGCTGATCACACCAATAGGATCTCGGAAGGCTCTACCACAGGTCGGGCACAAATAATCCACATGAATATTTGGAGTAGAGAAGTCTCTAAATTTGCACATCTCATGTTTCTTTTGAGCTACTGCAATTCTGCTTTGCTCACAGAGCACAGTACCTTCTTTGATGTGGGCACACCATGCTGGGCAGTTCTTTGCCAGTGTCTCCCACTAAACTGATTCCACAGTTCTTCAGAGAGACCTTGAGAGTGTCTTTACATCACTTTTTCTGACCTCCATGGAAGCACCCGCCCTGTGTGAGTTCTCCGTAAAATAGTACTTTAGACAAATGCAAGTTTGGTATTTGAACAATGTCGCCAGCTCACGGGAGTTGCACTCTATGGAGGTTGAATACTTGGCAGTTTAGCTTGAGAAACAACCTCAGTGTCATGTACCTTAACTTACCAGGTGATCTTAAAAAATCTTCCTAAGACAATACCAATGGAAGAATTTCTGTTTCCTGGCATGGCACTGGTATACTGTCCAGGTTTCCTAGGCATACCACAACAACCTTGCTTCATTCTGCTGGTGACTGGGAAAGCATGAGAGCATTGTCCATTATCCAGGAACCATGCAAACATGATGAATTTCTCAGAGTAACCAAATTTTGACATAATTTTCCATAAGGCCTCATCACTGACAGTATCAGAGGCCTTGGTCAGATCCACAAATGTTGTGTGTCCTTTCTCCTGGAGTTGTTGACCAACAAACACCACATCAACCATTCCTCAGTCCTTCTGAAGCCACACTGGCTCTCAGGTAGATAACCACCTTCCAGGTGATGGATCAGCCTACTAAGGAGGACTCTGGCAAGAATCTTGCCATCAGTGACTAAGAGAGAGAGACAATCCCTACCTCCCCCACCTACACCACCCCCTCAGTAATTGTCACAGGACAATCTATTTCCTTTACCTTTATAGGGATGGACAGTGGAGGCATCCTTGATGATTTTAGTCAGCTTTTGTTTGAGCAGTGAATGCCCTGCTGTGTAAATCTCAGCTGGGATAGAATAAGCACCAAGCACTTTGTCACAGAAGAAGAGCCTAATGACATTTAGAACCTTTTCTTCAGTTGGAAATTCAGCTAGAGAGGGATTGACTTCAGCCTGAGGTATATGATCACTAATTGATGATGGTCTGTTGAAAACACTATGGAAGTGTTCAGCCCATCTCTCTAGGATCATGTCCTTATCACACTAGTCAACATGGCTCTATCACTACTGAGCAGTTGAAATACACCATAGGTCTTTGGCCTATAAATAACCTTCAAGGCATTGTAGAAGCACTTTGGGTTGACTATCAGCATAAAACTGAATTTCATCTACCTTCTCACTGGGCCGAGAATCCTTGCATCTCTCTAAGATTTGCTTGTACTTTTTTTTTTTCATTAGCAGCTTCTGCCATTTATTAACACCATGTCGATTTAATACAGCTGCTGGGGCTTGCCCGTGGTGCTCTTGATGTACAATGCCCTCACATTTTGCCAGTTTTTCTTCAGCAGAGAAACCAGAAAATTGACAGCCAAATGGATATCATTGACAAGCTCATCATCTGTCATCTTCACATGGCCAACACCCACTGCCAGAAACGGCACCTTTTCATCTGAAACTTGATAGTAGATTTAACCTCATCAGCCTTTGCCACCATATTCTTATTGTGGGTGAGCAGAGGTGGAAACTTGCTGGCTTTGTTCAAACCAGGCCCAGGAATGAAGTGATTTGCTTGATCAAGGACTCAGAGGCCAAAAAGGCATCATACTTATTAGCCAGCTTCTTGACTAATTTCTTGTTCTTATTCAACTTCTTCAGGGCCTCTATATCCATGTGAGGGATTTCTACAGCTTTGGCCTCATCACAGTGCTGCTGGTTTCCCAGGACACACACAAAAAATTTAGGTTGGGGTATGGATTTGAGCCTAACGGTGCCAGAGAAACATTTGTCCTTTTGGGGATCATGGCTCTTCCGACTGATCTGCAGCTCTCCAGTTTCCAAAAACTTTCTTCGTTTGTGCTGGGTTCCATGCACAGCTTCATAGAGTGTCATGAGAGACTTTGCTGCTCATGGCTGCTCACTGATCACAAGGTGGGAAAAAACAGCACTTTACTTTGAATGGAGTCAAATCCTGCCTTATTAGAGAGAAATGAACAATCCTGCTGGACCCTGCAGAATTTTCATTTTTTTTTTTGTTTAGAGCTTCTGAATTTCCCCATCATTTTAGTCAACCCAATGTTTGTCTTTTGACCCAGATGAGTAAATGTGGTGCCAAATCTCTGAAAGCTGCCCACTCCTTTTCTGTTCCATTGTTGCCAAACTGTGTGTTGACTCAACCTTCCCTCCAAGTTAGCAACAAACTGTCCCCACTCAGAGGAGTGCTCTAATCTGTTGACATTAAGTCTTCTGGTAATCATCTTGCCTTGGGGCCACCACCTTTTTTTTTTTTTGTGAGGCGATTGGGGTTAAGTGATTTACCCAGAGTCATACAGCTACTGTTAAATGTCTGAGGCTGGATTTGAACTCAGGTCCTCCTGACTCCAAGGCCAGAGCTCTATTCACTGTGCCACCTAGCTGCCCTGAGGGCCACCACTTTTGTTGAAAGGGAATATGTAACTTGGAGAGGATAAGTCTATGATCATTCCAGCACTCTGTACCACACATCATCTCATATCCTGTCCGTCTCTTCTCATAACAGTGATATAGCCTATTAAATGCCAATGTTTG